ACAAGGAGAGCAATCAGACTAGCTGGGACAAAAATATTATGAAATGCACACAGCTTTCTAAGGAGCACAAGAAATTAAGAGTTCAAGCTTGCTTTTACATCCAAATGTGTCCAAACAAGGTATCAATGCCTATATAGAAGGTGCCCTTCAGACAAAGTCAGATGAAGACAATGCAAGCAGCAACTGAATGATTTCTTGGGATAGTGGGAACACAACCTGACAACAGTGGCCAATGGACTTGCCTCAGCACAGTCAGAGATTAATGGCATTTTGGAATGAACAAGCAGGCTGTCGATTTACAGCTTTATAGCAATGTGAGCCCAAAAATACCATTCAAGTCCACTACCTCAAAACTGATGAGGCCAATAAAATGAGCAGTGAAATTCTGTATAATACTGTATAGTTGCAAAACAATTTTAATGACCCTATTTGTGAAGACACAACCAGTTTATCTCCACTTGAAGAAGACAGAAGGCAAAACTATGGACAGTTACACTGAAGTTACCCAACAAGCTTCGAAGAACAAAATATAAAGAAGATTTTCATTTTCTGTTGGTTTGGATTTCAAACCAAGTGATTTGACAAAATTGCCAAAATTCATATCTGATCAATTTTGGTTGTGTGGTGTTTATGTTTAGCTGCCACAGATGATACAAAGATTGAATCGATCTTTATGACAATCCCCAAGGCATCTTGGCAGATCTAAACCATAATCACTGTGCCATCCAAAGCCATAAAAATTGTCAATGAAAGCTATTTAGAACTGAACAGATATATAATTTGTATCTCCATATGGAACTGCAATTGGACTCTTTAAAAAACAAAATATCTGAAACATAAACATATAATTCCAGCCTTGTTTCATTGCAGATTACTCTCTTTTAACTATTCAATTTTTTAAAATAATCAAACACAAGACAAATGGTACCTTTAAGTACTTGAAGGACTTTGTATAAAACTATTATTTTTATTTGATTATTAAGAAAATATTTTTTCAAAATCAAATACTTTTTCCACTTCAGAAAATTAACCAAGTTTTACCATTTAGATTTTCAAACATACTTGAACAAAAATACTCTGTTCTTTTGTCTGCAGTAAGCAATTATAACAACAGAAATTATTAACAATTAAAAGCAAATATTAACAACCCAAATTATAGGTTAGTGAAATTATAAATGGAATTACTTTTGGTGTGCAATATAGAAACAAGCTTTTTACAGACCAAAAAAATATGCAAATATATACAAAATGCTGCCCACAAAAATATATACCTTGCAGATCTAGCAAATATTTCAATATCAAGTAATTATTTTAAAATATTTTCCTCCAGATTGGTCTTCTTTCTCAGACTGGTTTGCAAGAATCACCTGAATGATGCCAGACTGAGCTGCTTCTGGCTCCTTGGAATGTGAGGGTTTTTCCCCTAAAATTTATAAAAAGGAGTATTTCACCCTTGCTCATATCCATCTTCAAGAAAGCATTGCACAAATTTATTTTCCATTTATCTATAGCATTATTCTGCAAAAAGGAAGAAAAAAAATATCAAATAATATATTAAGAAAATAACTAGCCATATGTTTAAAATGTGTCTTTTTCAGGAAAAAAATGCTCTCTAAATTCCAATTACACTATTTAGCCAGAAACAGGAATAGACACGTGAGTCACTGAGTGTAATCCTTGCTACCAAACCCTCATCACCTGTAAATGTAACTCAGGCAACTCCCTGAGCCTGTTGTAAACAGCGACATGTCCTAGCCTACCCTTCTGATAGGAGGCTGAACCCATCTACTTTTCCAGCTCCAGTCTGAATTTATTCACAGTCACCTGTTGGCAATTGCTTTCAGGATGAGTGTTCCAAATCTCATCAAGATAAATAGTCCTTCAGCAAAATCATCGCCTACAGCATTATGGAAGAAAGAGATTTAAAATAATCTTCCCAAAACACAAGTCAAGCTCTTGGTTTTTATTTAGCCATTTTTATTTAAAATTATATCCATATTTTATTATGAAAGGTATTACTTGAACTATCTATGCCTTTCATGCACACTTTTTGTTGCTTTTTCTGTATATATTAAAAAAAAACCAAAATTTTGTTTACTCTTCTCTCTGCTTTCATATTTCCACTTCCTACTCAGTGATCTCATGTTCCCTTGTATCTACCACTCATCAGGTCTCTAGAGTACAACTCTGCATGCAGTGTAAGGGACTGAGGCCTAATGTTTTTCATCAGCCTCCAAGGGCTCCTTGAGATCTGCTTCTTCCTCCCTTCCTTCCACAATCCATGGCACAGCCTGTGCAATCTACATCCCCTCCTCAGCTTCTGGAGATGCCAAGTAGAGTAGCAAGATAGGTGTAAGAACTCAGCTCATGTTGGTTCTGTTCCTTTACTTTCTAATTACACTCTTCCCACAGTACTCCCGTTACTTTTATTCTTTTCTCATTCTCTTTTCATCAGTGTCTCCTCAGTGCCTGAGGAGACAGCAGACAAAAGATGTGGGATTCAAGACTGCTGCCTGGAGTACCTTGGAGTAGCTGCTGTCAGTGTGCCATCCCTCACTGGGCAGTGACATTTCAGGCAGTGCCATGGGTGTTGGGCCATGGCAGCAAGACAAACAATGCCCATCGTGCCAAATGAATGATTAATGACTCAACGGAGTCATTCAAAGTTGATTCTCGAATGAATGAATGACTCAACCAAGGAGCAAAATGACAAGGCCTGAATGATGAGAGTGACAGTCTAAGATTAAAGTCTGCACATGACCCTTGATCTCTCCCCAGAGTAACAGCACTGTCTACAGCTCCAAACGGCAGAGGGGAATTCTGAGACTGATGGGATCACTGTGGCTCAGAAGGACCTCAGAGTGCCTGCCAGGCAGCACAGCCCCCTGCTCAAGCAGGGTCACCCACAGCACGTTACTCAGGATCAGCCAGGGTTTGTCTGGGAGTATCTCCAAGGACGGAGACTCCACAACCTCCCTGGGAAAGCTGTGCAACTGCTTGAATGTCCTCGTTGCCAAGCTTTTTACTGTCCACCATCCCCCTTTTTTATTTTTTTTGTATGCTCTTTTTTCTTTTTCTGTATGTTCCTTTTCAGAAACAAAGACAACCAATGAGCACAAAATTAAGCAAATAAATCAGTAGGGGAAAAAATAAAAAGAAAATAAGTGATAACACAGATCTTCTAATTTAACTCATTATATTTCACCTATCACAATTTCTCTGGTTGCCAAAACATTGGCACAATTCTTAGGCTTGTATTCACAAGCCTGAACATTACGTTGTAAGAAGCAACAGGAAATCAAGCTCTCAGCTGCAATCTCAAAATTCCCATTATTTGCACATTGGTACCATGCAAAATCATGAAGTGAAAGCAAATAGGCAACACTGGGTTAGAACATGGTTTATAATCTAACGGACAAACGTTTTTCACTAAATCATTATAAACAATCTTCAGTCCTGCACATGCTTCCCTTTATTATCAAAAGCAGCAACACAAATCTTTAAATAAAATTTCTGTAAGATTGGCTCCTAAATTTCATCTAGTCTGCACAATGAGTATGGCTTTTTGTAATGGTTTTCAGTTTCTGAATCAGATATTTACAGAGAGATGCTGTTGCTCTTCTGACACTGCAAAATTCAACCAACACAGAATTTAGGACTTTTACTTCCAGTGCCTATGATTGATGAGAACTGAACTGCAAACCTAACGTGCTCTTTCTAATTCAGTGTAACCATTGCATGAAATTTCTCTGTTCCAAATTAATTTGGGGAAGGGGGGAAGAAAGTCTTCCAACAGTCTTTTATTACCAGGTTGTTAGGGTATAGATCAGAAACACAAAGAAAAGAAAGCAATGTTCAGTAATGGCCTCTGCACCTCCAACTGATGTGGTAGGAGGTCCATGCTGTAGGCCATGAAGGGAAATAGAAAGATTCCAGCTTATTTCATTACACCTGTTTCCAAACACTCATTCTCCAACTTTCATTTGATCTCAAGGCATATCGATTAGGGACCCAAGTTTAAAATAGGCTTAGCAATACTTAAATAGTAAGTCCAAAACTTAAAAGTAAACTCCAAAGAGAGCACGTGTAATTTGGAAGAAAGAAAAATGAAAGAAAAACCAAATTAAATCAAAACAAAAGCCAAAATCCCAAAATCAGAAAATAAGTAAAACATATATATACAACCATGGGGGAGAATGATTTTTGGAAAATCATATTTATCCAAGAAAAAAAAAAATGCAGTTACGGAAAACCATTGCTCAGTAATCACCAAGTAAATTCTACCAACTGAGTTCAGAACCTCTGCTGATAAATAGAAGGATCAGACTCTTACTTTATACCAGGAAGCACCTCGACGATAAATCTCAGTAAATACATGGTTTCAATATCATTTTTGTGTATAAGTATTGCTCAGCATCAGCTGAGATCGAAATACAGTATTTCATTCATACCAGGAAAACAATACACTGCCTTGGGTGTGACTGCACTCTAATTCAAATAAATCCTTCCCCATTATGTCTCAGCCAGTCGGTAAAGGCACTAACATGTGATTTCAGATTCTTTTATCTATTAATGTCTTTCCACCTCCATGAAGGATTTTGACTGAGGGGCTGGAGGACGGGACAGGGGGGTCACATTGTTCTTTCGCAACGGCAGCACAGGATTTATGGCACGGTCTATAACATACATTAAACAAAGTACTATTGCACCTGAAATATTCACCTTAAAACACACTTTAGGCAACTTTTGCAATGCCTGTGGCTTGTTTTCTGTTGCTTTTTTAGGCTTCTCAGCGACACTGCAGGACACAGGAAAAAAGGAACATATTAAGAAAATAACGTCTGAAAGAGTAAAACTAAATCCAAACCAAAACACCCAACTTCTAAGCATTTCCATAGGTATGACTGGGTGTGCCCAGCAAAGGTTCAGGGTAAAAGCAGCATTTAAAATTGCCTGTGAGGGACAGAAACTGCAAAAACCAAGAGTTTTTTCTGACTTACATAGTTCCCAGCAGGCTGTTGCCATTCCCTCTGCGGGGCTCTCACTGGCCAGGGGGATCACATGACACTGGGAACCAAAATAGAAAAGTGTCGGGAGCAAGGAAGCTGAACCAGAAACACATTTTCAAGGAAAGACCTATCATGTGCATGATTACACACCCTAAGAAGCAGAAGGTGGTAAATTTAGACAGGAACCTAGGCTGCGCTGAAAAATGTGTAATGCACTGAACTCTGCAGTCCGGTATCAGCCACCCTTACAATGCATGGGAAAGATTCATAAATCACAGCCTGCGTCTGTACGTAACTAAACCTGCTAACTGCTGTAGTAAATCACCAGATCTTCAAAGAAAATAAGATCTATCAAATTTTTAATTTAATCTATTGAAGTTTTAAAACAGCTTCCCATCATCAAACCATTTTCGTCTTAAGGCTAAGGTTTCCAGTGGTTTGTAGAGAGGAAGCAATTTTTTTAAAAGGATATGCTCTTAAGATAATTGGGTGAGCTGTAAACACATCTCAAAGATTGCTTTCAATTCTTTCACAAGTGAAAAATATGGTTGCAGACCTGTAGGTCTGCAAAATGTCACTGTAAATCTATAAAACTAATAATTTAACCATGAAGATATAAACAATAATGCAAAGAATCCGAGTCAAAAGCTGAACAGATGAGTTAGAGACAAAATGCAAGTTCCATCCAACAATAAAATATCCTCTAAGTATATTAAGGCTGCTGTTTAGTTATCCCTGCTAGACGATTAACTCTTTCAGTTTTGTAAATCTTGTAAAAAATAAATTCCAGCAAAATATTATTCTTGGGATTACAGGAAATGCAAGTTACCTTCTGTAACAGCTAACTTTTTCATAATTTCCTAGTCATTCGAAATGAGATTGTTACAATTTTTCATTCTATATGTTGTCAAGGTTGCCTTGTTTCCAGGACAGTGATTGTAGAAAAAGGATTTACTGAAAAATGCAAACAGCAGTAGAGAATCTGTGATCAAGGAAAAGGAAATATGTTGCATATCTTAAAAGGACAAGGACAGGCAACAATTTCATGTCCTAACCTTTAGATGCAATCACTCTCACCTTTCAGTCATAAGATTAAAATATTGCAAATCCCACCCTTTCAATGCAACTGGCTCACAAGACCTTCTGGATAAACAAAGGATAGAGAATGTAATTCAAAATCCTACATAGCAGACTCCCAACTCCGCAAGAAAAAAGTAATATGAACATGAGTTAAGAAACCAAACTGTTCCTCTTTCATTAAGAAAAATAAATAAATGCAAATAAATGAAAGGAACCACACACACACACACACAAGTTCTAAAGAAAATCTCAGATTAAATTTCCCAGAAAGAAGTGTACACATTATCAAAATATGTACAATATCAGAGAATATCTTCAATCAAGACAGATAATTTGGTATTTAAAAAAAACAAGATCTGCTTTATTTTGCAGGATACCCCAACAAAAGTTTTCACAAAGTGAAGTAGAAGTCCACATAAACATGGTAGCATAAAAAGGCTCCTTGTATCTTCCCTTTTCTTGTGAACAAGTGTGAAAGGACATTTGAGCATTAACTGGAAGTAGCAGTAGTATAGAAGTAGACACCAGAGCTGTTGCCATTGGTTATTTGAATATAAAGAAAACCTTCCTAAAACTACAAATTCTAAACTATATGGTGGGGTTTTTTTGGGAAGAAAAGGTAAAAAAAAATTTTTAAAAAGCATTTTGAAAAGCATATTACTGTGTACATGCTTCCAAGTACTCTACCAGCTACATGACTTCTGTCACTGTGGTTTTAGGAGAAGCTTTGCATTACTGAAATTGTGTCCTTTTGCAGGTGATGTGGCAGAACTGAAGTGGACAGAAACTTGCCATTGATCATGGTGAGAGACAAACCAGGGCAGTGATATAAGTACAGGACTAAAAATTTAATACAGGACTAAAAATACACAGAACAGTAGATTTTGTCATACCTCTTAAAATTACTACAGAAAATTGGCTTCAGCTACCTCTTGTTTATTGCTTTCAGAAACCTGCATGAAAAATCATCCCTTGGATCAATTTTAAATGTAACAGTGGCCTGCTTTACCATGTTTCAGACAAAGCCTATCTAAATGGCAACATTTTTCTCAGGGTATTTTCACCGTACATCCCAAGCATAGTGCAAATCATCTCAGGAACCCCTCTGTGCTCAAACACATAATTGATTTCATTTGCTTTGTGTTATACTCTCCTCAGTTTCATTTATCAATTGAGACGTATGAAAGGTGCAAAACACACTGGGTAGTGGGGGCTATGCTACAGTATTCCATCATAGGTCAGTCAGAGGGCTGGAAATGAAATTATATGGGAAAAAAAACTAAAGGCAAAGGCAGTGAAATAAATGGCTAGAAGACTATCAATTTAGGGAAAGAAATGCACCCATGTGGGATAAAAGCACAGTGAGGAGGAGGTACATCATGTAAAAGACAGAGTATAAAGCCTTGGATAAAAACAGAAAGAGTGTCAATGTATCCTGGAGCTTAATGCTGGGTGGGGAAGACTTGAGACAGAGTAGAATGTCTCTTTACATAGCTGGCATCAGTGTTATTCTACACACCTGCTTCCCCCACTTTTCTTAACACTGATATATAGAATCATAAAATCTTTTACGTTGGAAAATATCTTCACAATCATCAAGTCCAACTGTTAACTGAGCACTGCCAAGTTCACCACTAAAGCAAGTCCCTAAGTGCTACATCTGCATGTTTTTAAGTACCCCAGGAATGGTGACTCAACCACTTCCCTGGGCAGCCTGTCCCAATACTTGACAACTCTTTTGGTGAAGAAATTGATCCTGATATTCAACCTGAACATCCCCTGGTACAACTGGAGGCCATTCCTCTCATCCTGTGGTTTGTTACATGGGAGAACAGACTCACTGCCACCTGGCTACAACCTCCTTTCAGGCAGTTGGAGGAGGTCCCCCTTCAGTCTCTCTTTCTCCAGATGAAACTTCCCAAACTCCCTCAGGCACCAGACACGTGCTCCAGACCCTTCACCAGCTCCATTGTCCTTCTCTGGATTCTCTCCAGCACCTCAGTCTCCTTCTTGGAGTGAGGGGCCCTGCAGCATCGCCAGTGCCCTGTGAGGGGGCAATCACTGTCCTGGTCCTGCTGGCCAGGTTGCCATTGGCCTTTCTGACACCTGGGCACAGCTGGCTCATGTTCAGCTGCTGTTGACCAGCACTCCTGGGTCCTTTTCTGCCTGGCAGTTTCCACTCTGCACCCGAGCTGCAGCACTGCAGAAGGTGGCACTTGGTGGTGAACTGCTTAAACAGGCATGCATTGAATGAGCAAGTTGACAAATATGGCATTTCAATACTCCACTTATTTTTTAAAATACTGTCCAGTAGATATCTCTCAGTTTATAAAGCTTCTGCTGAAAGTATATTTGGGACAAGCACTAATATGTTGATCTGCCCTGGTAGTACATTACAATTTCCTAAAAAAGTCAATTCATTGATAGCTAAAGAACACTATTTAAAGCAGTGTGCAGAACAGTTTTATCAATTTAAATTGCTAGAAACAAGTATCTCTATTTTACCTTCTTGGCAGGTAGCTTAATTCTTGAGCCAGAAGAAACCAAGTCAATATTTTCAAGCTGTGGCCTCACTTACATCTCAGAGTATGACTAGATTAAACCAATTTTCTGAGATCGCCTCTATCTATTAACAGAATACTTAACAAGAGAAATAGCAGCCCCAGCAAATTATTCCACATCCATGGATAAACTCAGTATTTGGACCCCTTTTTATTCACAATAGTAATAAGGCCTCAAAATAATTTTCTTCACCACCCCCCAAAAATTTAATTTGGACTGCTATCACTGAGTTTCCATATGTTCTAAAGGGACAGTTTGCCATAAAGTTAGTGGGAATTTTTAGTATAAATTAACAGAAATAGACTAATAATATTTTTATCCTTCCTTACGCCCTCAGTTTAGAGTAAAAATTCATGTTTTAGTCTTAACTATTCCTGCAAACAGGAATAATTACTTTAATTCCTTTAACTTCTTTAATTCTTCTTGTGTTTAACTGTAATTCACAGCCATTTGAACAAAGTGTAGTAATCCCAGTGCTACAATTGGCCCTTAAGAACATAAAGATAATCCTTTGTAACAGAGAGTCACTCCAATTTACTGAAATTCACCACACACATCTTTGCAAATTTACAAGTGTGTGGTGACACACCTGATCTCAACAATAATATACACACATTTCTCACAAACCATTCTCCTGGCAAACCTCATCCTCATGCAAGATATTTAAACTCCTTTAGTGGCCTTCCATTATTGAAGATTCCAAGTGGTGATTTAAAAAGATCATATTCCCAACAACAGGAAAAAATAGTTTCCAGTATGTACTAATGTAATAATAAAACATAACCCTCCTACCCCAGTGATCATTGCTTCTGCTGAAGACTTTTTTTCTCACTAGCAGATAAAACATTTCTATTTCCCTAATAGAAATACAAATACTGAAAGACTAATTCTGTGCATTAAGGGGAGAATGGAAATAAGAGATATTTCTTAAACTGTTTACATACATAATGAGACTTCACATATAGAAGACAGTAGCCAGTTTTATGCAGTCCCTATTTCTGCTAAGGGAAATTAAAAAAAAAAAAAAAAAAAAAAAGAGAAATGTCAGGTTACACAGCATTATCCACCGCATGCTGTGTCAGCCATCAGTATGTTACAACTACTATTCTACAACTATTCTACCAAATTTTTCAAACACTAGAGATATACATTTATTTTTTACTTTTTTTTTAAATAATGTTACCAGGCTCTTTTTCTGTTTAAACAAAGTAAAAATATGCATATGCAATGTTTGAAATGCAATTAACTTTGGGTTATCTTGATGCAATGCGATCTGACCAAATATTTTGCTATAGTAACTTATATAAATTCAATCTATTTAATAGAAAAGGACTTTTATTTCAGTCACTTAATATTAGTAGTTAATTTAGAGTATATACAATTGGAATTGAGCCTTTAATACAGGACTAAAAATGA